TTTGAGCTCAAAGGGTTTATTTTGAGTTATAATGGATTGATTTAAATTACAAAACTTTGATTTGGATAGGTATTGTTGGTTTGAATGTTAGTTTAAGTTATTTGAAATTTTTTTGGCATTATTTGAAATTTGTTTGAAGTTAGTTTTCATAAAATATTACAATTTCTTTTAAATTTATCGGTTTTTCTACTAAAAAAAAATTATAGGAGCTTACCGAAGTCAACGACTTCAATTAGTGCAAATTTCTATTAATTTTGATTTTTAGTGATTTATTAATGGGTTATTGATTTTAATTAAATTCATATTTATTTATTGGTCATTAAAATTTTGTTTTATTTGTCCTTAATTCCTGATGTTCCACTAAACCTTAGGCTTTTTTTTTTATTTTTTTTATTGTTTTTTTTAATTATGCATTTTATAAGTTGATTTTAATTTTATGATATTTATTTTGTTCAAAAAGGGAATTTTCTATTTAATGCCCAGTCAGGATCAGCTACCACATCAGTGAACCACCAGTTCACATTCCTCGCATTTTCAATTAATTGGTTAAGTCCTCATTAGGGTGGTTGTGTCAGCAAAATGATCTCATGTATTTAATCCTACGTGTTTACTCCATCCACTCTAATCATAGCCATCCAAATAAAATATTATGAAGTGGACAGTAGTGGTTCATCTTCACTAAGGAAAAAAAATGTGATTCATTCAAAAGAAATCAAACAATCCATCCGATCTGTCACTTGTTTCTAAGATCCAACCCGACAAGAAGTATCTCTAGGTCCTTAGGAGGTTTTCCTATTGCTAAAATTTCATGAGTTAAAGGTTCACTTTAGAAATGACCACTTACCGAGGCTTAAATCTAAAATTCAATGAATTACCTTTGTCCAAGAGGTGTAGTCTCAATTGGATTGGTCGAAAATGATCGCCTAAGCTCCGTGAGAGCTCCCCTAGCTCCAATTTATGTGTCTTAATGATTCTCCAAGTGCTTTACCAAATGAGCTCATGACTTGGTCATGGATAGATTTGGAGAGCCCATGAAAAGGGGATAATGACTGAGGAATGTGTTTTGAGGTTCAGTAAAGCTTCTGAAGTGCTTGGATTAAGGATTGTAGGGGTAATTGAAAGTGTCATGTCTCAGTTTGGCAAAACCTGAGAACAATGATTGTGGAATTAGGGTTTGGATCGATTGGTAGAGAAGGATACGAATTGGAATCATTTAGGTTGAGCTTCACTGTGAATTGGGGTTAATTTCTCAGTGTTAAGCTCTCCAAGATATTGGGAACTTATAGGATATGAGAAGGCCCACTGCTCGATTTGGCTTACTTTAGGAAGGAACGATGGTTGGTCGACTGGGGTTTGGGAGGAATTTGACATGTAGTGAGTTGTTGAGTTGGTTATGGGAGGCATAAATGGGAGGAGAAGCACATGCATGGGTGCTCAGATTCACCATGCTTGGCCAAGGAGTGGAGGTGGTTTGGTCAGCTTGCAAGGAGCTAGGGTTTGGATTGGAAGGTTTAAGAGTGACTGAGAGTTGATCTAAGCTTGGCTGAGCTTGAGGTGGCTTTGGTTTCATTTGGATTTGGCTTGAATTTGGCTTAATTTAGTTTGATTTGGATTTGATTTTGTTTCATTTGGATTCAACTGAGTTTAGAGTCTTGGTTTTGGATGATTAAAATGGGTTTGAATTTGAGTGCAAATAAGTTTAGGGATTTGCCAATTTGGCGGCTTAGTTTGGATGGTGGTAGAATGAAATGGCTCATGTAGTGGGTCCGGTGTGCAGATAATTAAAATGGGTTAGAATTTGGGTTTGATGGATTCAAAATTTGTGGATTTGGGTGCGAAGTGAAGAGCTCATTTATTATTTTGAATTTTTAACTCTCCTTTTATTAAGATTGGTTATTTGAAAGTTTTGTTACCTTTTTATATTTTAAATTGATTTTGCTTATCTCAATTTGATTATATTAATTTTGGATTTATAATTTTACAATAGAGATTTGGATTTGGATTTTGGTTTGGATTTTTATTTTGGTTTGTGATTTTGTTTAACTTATTTTTATTTGATTTTAATTTTGATTTTATTTTGACTTTTATGATCTTAGCGAGTTTGATTTTGATTTAATTTTGATTTTACTTTGTATTTTTTAAAATTTTAATTTTGTGATTTTAATTTGGTTTTGAAATTTCAATTTTGATTTTATCTTGGACATTAATTTGTAAGTTCATTTTATGATTTTAATAAATTTTATTTGATTTGATTTCAATTTTATTTGTGCTTTATATTTCAATTGATGATTTTCATTTTATCTTATTTTTTATTAAAAGATGAACTATATCTTCGTTCAAGATGAGCCTCATACCCAATTTGCTCTTTATAAGTCAAGGAAATAGTTATTCAAAGAATTGGAAAAGATAAGTGCAAAGTGACCACCATGAATCTTATTGCTAATGGGTAAGGAATCACCACCATAACTTAAACTGCTTCAAGCTATGAGACATGGGTTTTATTAATACATGAGTGTTGTGGGCTAGTTCTTCCGCATTTTGTTGATCAAACATTTTTGTCACTACAATCTTTTTTTAGATATTGATCAGACATTTATTCATCATTGTCAGTTATTTAAAAATTTTTACTTATCAGAACTCATCTATCACTGTCAGTTTTTTATGCTTGGGTGGAATCATTGTTAGCAAGTCAATTTGAGTTCCCGAGTGTAGGTCATATCTTGACAATCTCTTACATGAACTTCTTGAGTTCCCAGCACATGGGATCGTTTGTACAATTAGTTAAAAAATTACTAATTTATTTTTAAAAAATTAATAATGAAATATAAGAGTTAGAATGATAACACATTGTTACTTATCAAGATGCATAATTTTTTTGTAAGGGTAGAAATCTTCACATTGTCTCCACTCAATGTCAAAAGCGCTGTATTTTTTGCAGTATGCATCATAAATGTTTCCTAATAGAGAAAATACCGGTGTTGCTTTCGGCAAAAGGTACCAGGTTTTCCTTTCTTGATGAAGAGTTGTGTTAGTTGCTCAATTATCTGAGTGCCTTTGTAGGTCTTAAAATGAGCTTTGTGTCTCAACTCTAGACTTTCTTCACGAGCGGTTCTCTTAGGTGAATGGAGGTTGGTTTGCTGTTCTAAATGATGCGGGGGAGGAGTTATATCTTTCTACAGACCTAGTGCGTGCTGGAAAGTTCCCTTCTTTAGTCATTGAGCTACAACGATATGAGCTACTGAGGGATCCAAGTCTCGCATTTATAACATCTCTTTCTCTAAGTGTGTGATGAACGAGCGATTACTCTCTTTTTGTCCTTATTGGATTAATAGGAGGCCCTAAAAGTTTTCCTGAGGCTTTTAGGCACTAGCAAAATGCATCATAAATATTCACTTGAATTTAGAGAACAATAAGATCACTTCCAACGGTAATGCATTTAACCACACGAGGACCAATTCTCTGAAAGTGGTAAGGAAAAAATAATATTTCAACATGTGAATGACCCTCAATAAACACAGTTCACTCAAACAAAGCCATACGGTTGGTTGCATCTATTTTTCCTTTTAGGACTCTAGAGCCAGAATTTTGAACCTCTCCTAGGACTCAACCTTAAATATTTATCGTAAAAACTCATTGTCGGGCTGTTGAGGCACCTCAATATGCCTGAACCAGTGTTAGTTGATCTATGTCGACCCAACACTTTTAAAGTACTAAGAGTAGCCTTCTCTTTCTAGTGCTTAGGGGGATCTTCGGTCGTTAGGCATTGACATTTCTTCTAGGGGTTGTTGCTCTCTTATTCGAGTCAGCACGTCTCGAATGATATCTAGAATTTGAGCTTCAACTTCTGGATCCGTTGGTTCATAAACTATCTGGTTCACTTGATATTATTAGGGACTCTTTTGTGAGTTTCTTCTCTGTGTGTTGCTCATCTTTTTATCTTTGACATGATCTATGCTCACTGTACCTTTTACGATGTTGAATCCTGATTTGTCATTGAATCACACCCCATGGAATTGATCATATGAAAAATGAGAAAGAGAGGGAGATGATTGAATAGTAATCAATCGTATTAATCATGTTGAACTCCCTTTATTCATAACATAATTTTCTTTTTTATAGGGGAGAGAGTACAGTATGATAGTATTACATTTTTACCACTGCTTTAAATGAGTTATTGCGGAGTATTCTTGGTATTTTACATGTATGAGCTTACTGCTCAACTACTCTCTAGTTTGGTCGGTTGAGCTTGTTTGGCTTCAGGTTGGCATGACCAATTCAGTCGGCTATTCTTGGTCGGCATTGTTGGTCAATCAGATATAATTGGCTTCAGGTCGGCAGGACTGGTTTGTTTGACTTATCTACTTTGTTTGTCAACCCTAAATAATAAATAGGAGAGCTTATGGACATTATAAGTATGATTGGAGATGATGAGTGGTTAGATTTTCATTCGTGTCAGCTTCTTAGTGGTGATTAACTAAGATGTCTCTTTGTCTCATTTCTGGTTAAACAGTTCATATTCAGATCATCCAGTCGCCATTTTGTCTCCATCGTAGTCCGATCGGCTTTAGCCTTGCTCTTTTTGGCCCGAACAAGTTCACTCGATCAGAAAAGTGGACCTCATGGTCTTCTATTAGTAGGTCTTCCTTCATTATACTCTACTCTTCTGAACCGTACAATCTCCTCAGGATCAATGCCTACACCTTTTTTATGTACAGTATCAATAGAGTACAAAAATTGCTTGAGAAGCATTTATGTTAGAGCATTCACATTATATAATGATCACCTCACATGGTTTCAGCATAAAAGCATATCCATCCAAACTAAAACTTTGGGTTTTTTTTGCTCGAATAAAAGAACAAGAATATTTTTCCAAATCCAAACATTATTAGATATCTAAAATATATATAATTTTTGAAATATAAAATCTATATTTATTAGAATAAAATATGAAGACAAATTGGATGCGGATGAGGACCACAAACCACAAAATTCCACGGCCGATGGCGCAGGCTGAAGAGTTAAATCTCTCCACAATTTCCCAGCCCCATCATCAATGGAGAATTCCTGGCCTCCTGTGATTAATCCTCTCTGTTGAGGGCGCAGTTCAGTGTACAAACCCTAGCCATGGCACTAGCTGCTCGCCTGCATACCATCCCAGTCGGCGCTCGCGCCTGTTGGCTGTCCCGCCCTTCTTTGAAGCGGCGCCGTCTAGTGGCGGGGGGCCAGAACCGGGGCCGGTGACCTTTGCGGTGCTGCCGTTGTATGGTATAAGCATGATCTGCGAGTAGATGATCATCCCGGTCTTGTGGCTGCTGCTTCCCAACTGCAATCGGTCGTTCCTCTCTATGTCTTCGATCCCCGAATAATTTCCGGTTTGTTTGGATTTCCTCTTGTACAATATAATATTTTATTTATTCTGCATTGCTTCCATTTGGGTACATTGAATTATTAGCGGCGATTTTCGTTTTCCCTATTTGTTTTTTTAAATCCGAAACGCTTGTCTTTCTTCCCTAAATCCCGGTCTCCAAATTCCGGAAACCCTCGATGCGCAGAGAAGCCAGGCGTGGCCATGCGTGCTCGCTAGTGAATGCATCAGCGGGAGCAGCAACGTTTGAGGAAGAAGGGGTTGTTTTGGTTGCAGGATTCACGCAGGATTTAACCTAAATCCTGCTAAACAGCCAAAATGACAACTTTATTAAGTGAATCCAGGAGTTCAGCGGGTTTAGGGGATTTGGTGAAAGAAAATGCGTGGATGAGGATGAAGACAAATGGATCCATACCCGTAGATAAATAACTTGCAAGCACTCGTGTCTGTTTTTCGGCCAGGAGGCTGCCGGCCAATAACCAGAAGGAAGGTAGCTAGAAGACAGGAAATTTAGTTTGTTTCAAATAATTTCGTGTTCGAAATTATTTTTGAAGTCATTATTCGTGTTGGTTTTTTAATGAACGAGCTGAATACGAGCTGTTCGTGAACTACTATAATATAAATAAATAATATATTATATTAATTATATAATTTATATTATATAAATATTTAATATTTATATTAGTATATTACTAATATAGTATCTTAATATATTATTATTATTAAGTTATTATATTTTATAATTTATAAAATTTAATTTTTTAAAATATCATAAATTTTTATGTATAATTATTTTAAATTATTTTATATTTTGAACAATAACGATTCAAACACAAACGAACGCATCACTGTTTGTGTTTATTTCGTTTAACTAACCGAACAAAAAAAAATTTGTTCACGTTTGTCTCGTTTACTTATCGAACGATCGAACACGAACTCATTGACAAACCAAATACGAACTGTTCGCGAACATGAACTCATTGATCTTTTGTGGTGTGGGGGATGGAGCTCCTCGATCCATTTACTCCAAGTAATAGACAACAAAAAGCCATTCCTGTCATGATTAACTATTAACCACCTCTTATGATCGTTATTGATAGTAGCACTTAGTTTGTTAATAAAATAGTTTAGAACTTCTACAACTACCAAGGGATACAACTCAAGTTCACTTCAATATATCATCCAAAAAGAAATGGACAAGTAGAAAATGCTAACAAAGTCCTCATTAATCTACTAATCAAAAATATAAAATTAGCAAACAGGCAATGAGCTAAAGTCTTGCCTTCAGTATCATGGGATTTACAGACCATGCCCTCCACTTCTATTAGGCAAATACCTTTCATTTTATCATACATAATTGAAGTTGTACTTTCAGTGGTGTACGATATGCATATTCAATAGGTCCTAACTGTTGCCAAACTTCAAGGAGTGAGAGTTAGATGAGTGGAGAGAGCTCAACGAGGAGAGCCTATGCAACTTGTTGTACTGTTTGAAGGAACTTTGAGATCAATCCATATTGCAACAAGAGGATGAAAAAAGGATATCAAAATATTTCAATTCATGAGTAAAAGAACGACAAGTCAAAGCAGGCGATTTAATCCTAAAAAGGGCTAACGTTACAACTCATAAATCAAGCACTTGGGAAACTCGATCCTTCATGGTCTAGCCATACATCATCAAAGAGAATTTGGCTCAAACATATACAAGCTAAACATATCTAGGCAAAGAAGTCCTCGGAATGTGGAGCAGACATAATCTTAAAACAATTTATCCCTAAAAAAATAGTGATGCAAACACACCAGTGTAAATAAAAAATAATTGTACACAAAAGAAATTGAAAATTAAGTACCTGAATAGCTAGCTTTGACTTATCTTATGACAAGTAATATAAATTTTAAGAAACTTGTTTAAGAAATAAGCTCTAAGTTATTATGATAAGAAAATATTTGGAGTTTTGCTAAGGAATAATTGACTACCCTCTCGAGAAGGTTGGAGACCCCTAAACAACAAGAAAACCTTATAAGAATAGCTTTTGAGCCCCCGAAAAAGTAAGACACGAAGGATAGTTAAAAATCCTTAAGCAACTTTCTTTTCTTTTAAAAAAATAGTAAGTTATGATAAACCTGATTTTTTAACCGAAATCATTAAAAAGTATATCGACTACTCATAAGAATAATATCCGACATAATGAAATGCTTGTCTCTCTATTCATGTTTCATATTGCGGAGGTGAGAATCAATTAAAGAGGCAACGAGTTCCCACAATTTCAACACATGGTTAGCTCCGGGAACTCGCCTGAAGTCTAAGCTTGGAGTACTCGCTCTAAGTCTAAACTCGAGGAACTCATTCAAAGATGAAAATAGAAAGTTCACAGTAGTAACAGATAAAACATAACATATAGATTAAAGCATAAAAGGAGACGACAAATAAAAGAATCTAAAATTTTTTTATATATATGGAAGAACAAATCACCTGACTACAACTTGACTTGAGTTCAGACATTACATAACATGATGTACAAATAATAAATGGTAAAGAGTACAAGGTACACATTCCTCACTTTTCCAGGAAATTGGAAATCCCACCTTCTCAAGCTTCAAAGAAATTGATAGCCCTTGTGACAACAATGTTGAGATTTCTCCATTAGAGAGTCATCACAAGACCTCAATTGTGAGCCAAAAGGCCTTGAGAAGGCTAAAAGGATTATACCGAGGCTTTTTTTCTTCAAGTATCTCTATAGCCGGCAGGACCCGAGGTCATCATCTTTGCTTTTGTTCAATCAAAGATGTATTAGAAGAAACACTTTTGAAATACATCCCTGATGTAGTAGGAGTCCTCTGACGACCTCATAAGGAGCCATAACCCTAATTAATATCAACAAACCGGTTAGTTCATATTCAAAAAGGAAGAGGCTCTTTAGTTTGGACATCAACTAACAACAAGATTACATCTGATTGCATCATCTTCATTTATTAATTTTTTCTTATTCATCAAAATAATATAACTGGATCTATTTTGAGTAAGTATTGTAGGACCATCCTTTGCTTAATTTATAGACCCCAGGTGGAAGGCTTATCGCCACAAAGATAAGAGAGCCATGAAACATATGTTACATTTTCATGTAAGCCCATTATGACACAATTATTCTCATTTATTAAATTGACTATTATTGATATTACTCGAGAAGTGTCAAATTTAAATAAGGAACTTTAACGCTTCTCTTTTTCAGTAAAATTCTTGACTTGTCTTGTTCTGGAAGTCTCTCATAAGTCACAATCACGACCTAACAAAGCTTAGCAACACAAGTTGACGGGGAGCAACAAGTCAGATTTTCTGATAACCCTTCAAGCATGCTCAAGCGAACTTGAATGAGTTATTCATCTCTCTTACCCTCAATGTTTGATCAGAATTCAAATCCCCTTATAAGTAATAGACATTCTTAGACCAAAGTTCAAGCCTAGGTAGACTAACTCCCCCCTTTGCCTTGAAAGTACATTGAGTGGCGCATGAGTCATCCCCTATGAAGAGTGTGGATAAGGACCTTGCTGACAATGGTAATAAGTTCCACCTGTAAGCTTCAGCGTGACCTTTTCAAGGAGATAACTTAATTGGGAATTTAAACTTATACTGAATCTATAAAAAATCGTAAGAATCGAACCAAATGATTCATGTTGATAACTCATACAAATTATAGTGTTTAATTGTACACACAGCAAAGACAAAAAAGCACGACAGAATTAGAATTGCATATAAAAATAGCTGACCAGGTAAATTACTTTCAAACGTACAAGCCAAAAATATGTGTTCTTACATACACATGTAAAAAAGAAATAGAGGAGAAAAGTGACAATCAAACATTCATGAAATTTATTGATCATCTTCTTCATCGTCAAGCTCCTTAGTGAGTTCCAAGTAACAGTCCAAATCATTCTATGATGGAGTTGGGATATCTTTTTGCATTAGAGTATTTAAGTAGAATTTGATTTTTCGCTCATAATAGGTTGCTAGAAACTCCTCATATTCAGACATATGCTTAAACTACTTGAAGAATTCATCCCATGTCCTCTTTCCTTCGGGCTGCTTCTTCAAATACGTGACCTCATTCTCGAGCTCTTTCTTTAACTCGGCATCCTATTCTTACTTAATCTTCAGCCCTTTGAAGGGAATTCATCCCATGTCCTCTTTCCTTCGGGCCGCTTCTTCAAATATGTGACCTCATTCTCGAGCTCTTTCTTTAACTCGACATCCTATTCTTACTTAATCTTCAGCCCTTTGAAGGTTGCGACCTTTCTCTCAATCTTCTTCTTATATTATGCATATTGGCGAACTAAAAGTCTAGATACTCATTTATGCTTCTTGAGTTCCTTTACCTAGAGTTCTAGCTGCTACTTTAGCTGGGCCAACTCACCTTTTATAGCAACATTTCGAGAGTGGTTATCCCTTAGCACATGAGGGACTTGGCCTTCTCTTCCTCTAGTTGATTTACTAGTGCTTGAAGGAAGTGTAATTGCTTTGCATCCTTTGCGGACTTAGCTTGTAGCTTCTCCTTCTCTTTTAATAAAACCTCAAACTTCTCAGCCTTCGAGCCAGCTTGTTTCAACTTAGTGTGTTCATGGTGTGACAAGTTAATAGTATACCTCACTGTCAAGCAATGATCAAACTCTCCATCAGTGGAGCGTCCTTGTCTCTTCGCCAACCTCTCAAAGCTTGTGGAGTGGTTGAATGGGCCCAACTAGAAGAGCTTTTCATTGTAGTCTCTCTTGCTCAACCAATCTTGACTCAAGTTCACCCATGCTTGGCTTCAAGCATCATTATTTATTGAGAGGTGACCTCCCATATCGAACTCCTCCCATGCGGAGCCTGCCGCAATTGCTCCTAAAGAGGACCCACCAGCATCCACTTTTTTTTTCTTTACCTTCCTCTTCTTAAGGCTAGCTACAGTGGTTGCGCATTTCACTAGCACAAGTTTTCTCGAGCTTGTGGACACTATTTCAGTAGAGGCAAAGACTCGAATAATTCATATATTGCTCACTCTCTTTGCATGACATCCCTTATACATAGGCGATAAGTGGATTAGGGAATTGCTTAAAGAGCGCCCGACAAGATTTAATAATATGTTATGTATGACACAACCCGTTCATCGATCTGTTAGAAGAGTTGCAATGGAATCATGGACTTCATGGTTCCTCCAAGATGACTTCTAGAGAGATGCTAGTCATAACCCTCTACATTTTATCACATAATGAATCTATGAGAGGAGCTATAGAGTGATTCCAACACTCATTAGAAATAATCAGTAGATATTTTTCAATTAAGCTGAATGACCGATCAGCTTATCATAAGAAAATTATCAGACCCAAGGACCCCACATTCTAAAGAGCCCCGTAGAGATTTCACATGATTAAAGTTATATGCCATATTTTAAGATAAATTCATGCGTTAATATTTTCCTAAAATTACTTGAACACAGTAATTCAAACAACTTTATTAAATACTTTACGATTGTATTTGAGAGATTGATGGAACATATGAAAATGCATGTGTGTCGAATAGGAAAAGATCACATATCTTGTATGCAACTTTAAAATATGCTTTATTTTTGTTATGAACGACTGAGAATGTAATGCAGATGACAATCACATTTTCAAATTTGTCATGAGAACTCAAAAATGTGACTTTTCGAAGCCACCCTCAGGTTTGCTTGAAGATGAATACATGTAATGATACTTTTAATGCAAAACTAATGGTTATAATTATATCAAAGAAATATTATTTTGTCGAGCTCGGTATTACATTATTTAAAGGTTAAGCGAGAACTATTTTCTTAATGATCTATTATTTTGTTGTAGTGACAAATTATTTGTTGGTTTATACTTTGTGCACTAATACCTCACAACTTTATAAAATTTTAATTCAATATTTTTATTATTATTCTTTACCAATATCACATCTCATGGTCTATGCTTTGTGGTTATAAATCTTATAAAAAAGTTGAGCTCGAGGACTTCTGGTGCCTCCAAAGTTTTGTACTGCGATTGTGATATGCATTGTTCCGTGCTTATTTCGTGACAGAGGCATATCTATGAAAGAAAATTTTACAGGTGTCCAAGAAACATATCAGAGAACCGAGACTTCTTTAAGTTAGTGGATCGGTTTATGATTTCACCACCAATAATGATCAGACGTTGTAAGTTTTGTTGGAGGAGGTATTATCTTGTGAAATTAATCGTCAATATTTAAAAAAATAATATTATGATAATACTAATTATTAATTTTAATAGTTTTATTATTAATGTTGATTGTTGTGCTATTCCCTGTTTAGTGAGATATTAGTTTTTATTTTATAATATTCAAATTAAACATCTATTTTCTTATACGAAATATGCAACAATCACTGATTCTGCTAAAATTAACACTATACTTTAGGACTCGCGGGTTAGTGTCATAAGGTATTGTGGCTGAGAGCAAAACAAAACATTTAACCCGTGATGTCAAAAGATGCAACGAGCTATTAATATAACTGCAGAAAACATCAAATCGTAAATCAGCATTACCTGAACAGTATTTTACTTTCTCCACATGACAATTAATTCACACTGACAGGTATTCATTTTTTTCTACAGACGAGTATTTTAAATCCTCAATTTTTAAAATATTTTCCAAATGAGTCCATAGTTTTACCGGTACTTAATTCCCACAGACAGGTACTTGCTATTTCTGGAGTGGATTCTTTTTAAAAATTTCACAATTGGCCCAACGTTATAACTTTTCAAACCTCGACGATGTGAGATCGACGATTCACGATAATAAAATAAATGTAGATTATTGAATTTTTTTTAATATATAATTTACAATGTAAAGTACAAATAACGAGTTTCTGTTGGATTGGGTTGGTGAAGTGGGCTGAACTCGGGTGAGGTCAAGCTCGATTTGAAAACCAGAGGATCGTGTGGCTTGGAAGGCGCGACAGGGGGAGAAGAACTGCAAGTTACAGAAAAATTATTTCATGCGGACACCGCATGCAGAGATGCATGAGGTGTTCGAGAGCCACACCACCGTCGATCACCGTTTCAATGGGCACTTTCAACTTCTTTTTTTTTAATCCAACCAATCTACGATGGAGATCAGTCCACATGTAATAATTTTTCGAAAAGAGTGATCTGCGTAGGGGTGTAAACGAGCCGAACACGAGCAAGTCATTCTGATCCGTACTGTAAATCACTTGATCTACAGTCTCGATGTATTTCGGTGGGCCCCACCTAAATTTTTTTTTTTTAAAATAAAAATAATCCGCATCCGCCCGCCCGCACGCCCGCACGCACGCAATAATTCCTCGTCCGCTACCTTCTCCTCGTTGCTTTTCCCGAGCGCAGAAGAAGGGAAAGATCGGGATCATGCGGCTAGGGCAGACTAACGTTGCAGCGCATAAAAAAGAAAATCGAGTGGAGAAATAGTGTGCGGCTGGCTGGAGTGCAGAACAATGTTTCTCGGTGCACGGAGAGCAGGGAAGATCGATCCAACTTCGGTGGTTCGTCTGCGAATAGGGAGGAGGCAGAGCGCGGCTTCGGTTTGGAGATGAAGCAGAGGAGTCGAAGGTTTGTATGCCGCGATTCCGTCGTGCCTTCCCAGCCAGCCATAGTTGCGTCAGTATTGCTCTGACAGGTAGAATATAATGCGACTTAGAGGATCAATCGACAAGACTTGCGAACAGGGTAGTGCGGTCACTTTGCGTTGGAGATGGAGCGGAAGAATAAGAGATGGGAGTTTCGGAGGACTTCGTATGTCGCGATGCCGCTATCGCTTTCCTCGCTGCCTCTAATTGCTGGTGAATCGCAAGGGTTTCCATCACGATGGTGCAAGATCGCGAGCATGATGGTTTCGAGCGAAGATGAGTAAAATGGGAAGATTCTCACGCTCTCAAGGGATCGCGAGGCTCTCTTGTTTGTGAACAGCGCAGAAAGAGGGTTTTTTTTGGCGAGCTCTTGCAGTAAAACACGTGCGGGCCAAGTCACCCGGACACTTGGCCGTCAATCACGTGAATGGCGAAGTCCCTGACGTGGCCCGCAGGTGGTCTTATTTTTTCCTCTGCCAGTGCCTTCGGAGCAGTTACAAATAGGTCTTAATAAGAATCCTAGCAAAAAAAACCCAGGGGATAATAATAATTTAGTTGAATTGAATTTAATCAATAATATTTGTAATTTATTTATTTTTGTGGCATCAACACATCAGAATGAAATTTAATTGCAAAGACTAATTTATATCAAATAGTCTTCTTTCTAGAATGTAGTTGAACTAGTTCTCAAGTTGGATGTGCTGAACATATATTGGGATCTCAATCTCAACAGAGTCAAGATAAGCTACAAATGAACAAAAAGTAGCAGATAATAGGCTAACATATGAGGATATGTGATAGACATGTTGATTTTTACCTCTTCGAAGAGCAATAGGTAGATCAAAGTGACTAGAAGGAGGATCAACTTAAGACGATGAAATCAATGTCAGACTAGGATAAGGGGGACAAGGTCTTCTAGTGTAAACATTAGTGATAGGTGTTGGTGGTGTAGGCGGAGTTGGATCAAGATCTGAACTGATGATATGATACATTAACAACTCATCATAATCTTTTAAGGATCTAGACAACAATGAGCAACCAAAGAATGAGATATGTTCATCAAATGTGACATAAGCAGAAACCATGTGCTTCTTTAGGAGAGAGGAAAAATATCGATAGCATTTTTTGTAAACGAGAGTATCCTAGAAAGACACCTTAATGACTTAGGGTCTAGTTTAAAAATCTGTCGGCGATTAGGACGAACAAAATAAGTATACCCAAATTTACGTGGTTCGTTTGGAAAATAACAAGAAACTCTTATTCTGAAGACAGAAAAGCTAGAGAGGTGGCTTTAAATATAGCACAAGCCCTGTAAAATTCAATTTCAAAATTACAAAATATTCTTTCGAGAAAAATATAAAAACTGTCATCCTACAAAGAATAGAATAACACAAATGACCATTTTAAACTATTTCATATCTGCATTTGATGTAAATGATTTGTTGCTATGCTATTCATACTTCATGTTATATTTCCAGGAACTTTTCATATCATTAAATTGGAACTTGTTCTAGTTATTTCTTGCATGTTTTCTTCTAAATTTTATAATATTCTTCTATAGGTTTGTCAGATGAGATGCTTGATCTTCTTCTTTTTGCTTTGAAAGATTTAAAAAGGCTGCTAAAAGATCAGGGATCTGACCTCTTTGTGGGCTTTGGAAGTTCAGAAGATGTTATAATAAAAATTGTCAATGAGGTTGGTGGAATTTTTTTAGTTTTTCCATTCTGCCTGTTTAATATTGAATTTGTGTTCACGACTTCAATTAGTCAAACATGTGCTTAAGTTTTACTTATTCAGAGTAGGTCAAAGCTACCCATGTTTTCACAGAGGAGGATGTAGACTACAATATTCGTGTGGTTATTAGTAATGTTGAATCTCGCTTATCAGCAACTTGGTTTCCATGGGGAAGTTCAAAGATCATGTTTTGGAAAGCTCCTTTATATAATGTTAAGGTAGCGTATGTTTCACCTATTCATGTCCACTAATTCTTTTTCTAGACGTTTAAGAAGCATTTGAATCACATGAACTCTATATTTTAGAACATGGAGGAACTGCCAGCATCATACAATACCTTTATCTCGATGTATTTCGATGGCCCCACCTAATTTTTTTTTTAAAAAAAATAAAAATAATCATGACCGTGAGATCTAGCCAGGCACAGCACATCGGCCCGCCCGCCCGCACCCACGCACGCAATAATTCCTCGTCCGCTACCTTCTCCTCGTTGCTTTTCCCGAGCGCAGAAGAAGGGAAAGATCGGGATCATGCGGCTAGGGCAGACTAACGTTGCAGCGCATAAAAAAGAAAATCGAGTGGAGAAATAGTGTGCGGCTGGCTGGAGTGCAGAACAATGTTTCTCGGTGCACGGAGAGCAGGGAAGATCGATCCAACTTCGGTGGTTCGTCTGCGAATAGGGAGGAGGCAGAGCGCGGCTTCGGTTTGGAGATGAAGCAGAGGAGTCGAAGGTTTGTATGCCGCGATTCCGTCGTGCCTTCCCAGCCAGCCATAGTTGCGTCAGTATTGCTCTGACAGGTAGAATATAATGCGACTTAGAGGATCAATCGACAAGACTTGCGAACAGGGTAGTGCGGTCACTTTGCGTTGGAGATGGAGCGGAAGAATAAGAGATGGGAGTTTCGGAGGACTTCGTATGTCGCGATGCCGCTATCGCTTTCCTCGCTGCCTCTAATTGCTGGTGAATCGCAAGGGTTTCCATCACGATGGTGCAAGATCGCGAGCATGATGGTTTCGAGCGAAGATGAGTAAAATGGGAAGATTCTCACGCTCTCAAGGGATCGCGAGGCTCTCTTGTTTGTGAACAGCGCAGAAAGAGGGTTTTTTTTGGCGAGCTCTTGCAGTAAAACACGTGCGGGCCAAGTCACCCGGACACTTGGCCGTCAATCACGTGAATGGCGAAGTCCCTGACGTGGCCCGCAGGTGGTCTTATTTTTTCCTCTGCCAGTGCCTTCGGAGCAGTTACAAATAGGTCTTAATAAGAATCCTAGCAAAAAAAACCCAGGGGATAATAATAATTTAGTTGAATTGAATTTAATCAATAATATTTGTAATTTATTTATTTTTGTGGCATCAACACATCAGAATGAAATTTAATTGCAAAGACTAATTTATATCAAATAGTCTTCTTTCTAGAATGTAGTTGAACTAGTTCTCAAGTTGGATGTGCTGAACATATATTGGGATCTCAATCTCAACAGAGTCAAGATAAGCTACAAATGAACAAAAAGTAGCAGATAATAGGCTAACATATGAGGATATGTGATAGACATGTTGATTTTTACCTCTTCGAAGAGCAATAGGTAGATCAAAGTGACTAGAAGGAGGATCAACTTAAGACGATGAAATCAATGTCAGACTAGGATAAGGGGGACAAGGTCTTCTAGTGTAAACATTAGTGATAGGTGTTGGTGGTGTAGGCGGAGTTGGATCAAGATCTGAACTGATGATATGATACATTAACAACTCATCATAATCTTTTAAGGATCTAGACAACAATGAGCAACCAAAGAATGAGATATGTTCATCAAATGTGACATAAGCAGAAACCATGTGCTTCTTTAGGAGAGAGGAAAAATATCGATAGCATTTTTTGTAAACGAGAGTATCCTAGAAAGACACCTTAATGACTTAGGGTCTAGTTTAAAAATCTGTCGGCGATTAGGACGAACAAAATAAGTATACCCAAATTTACGTGGTTCGTTTGGAAAATAACAAGAAACTCTTATTCTGAAGACAGAAAAGCTAGAGAGGTGGCTTTAAATATAGCACAAGCCCTGTAAAATTCAATTTCAAAATTACAAAATATTCTTTCGAGAAAAATATAAAAACTGTCATCCTACAAAGAATAGAATATCACAAATGACCATTTTAAACTATTTCATATCTGCATTTGATGTAAATGATTTGTTGCTATGCTATTCATACTTCATGTTATATTTCCAGGAACTTTTCATATCATTAAATTGGAACTTGTTCTAGTTATTTCTTGCATGTTTTCTTCTAAATTTTATAATATTCTTCTATAGGTTTGTCAGATGAGATGCTTGATCTTCTTCTTTTTGCTTTGAAAGATTTAAAAAGGCTGCTAAAAGATCAGGGATCTGACCTCTTTGTGGGCTTTGGAAGTTCAGAAGATGTTATAATAAAAATTGTCAATGAGGTTGGTGGAATTTTTTTAGTTTTTCCATTCTGCCTGTTTAATATTGAATTTGTGTTCACGACTTCAATTAGTCAAACATGTGCTTAAGTTTTACTTATTCAGAGTAGGTCAAAGCTACCCATGTTTTCACAGAGGAGGATGTAGACTACAATATTCGTGTGGTTATTAGTAATGTTGAATCTCGCTTATCAGCAACTTGGTTTCCATGGGGAAGTTCAAAGATCATGTTTTGGAAAGCTCCTTTATATAATGTTAAGGTAGCGTATGTTTCACCTATTCATGTCCACTAATTCTTTTTCTAGACGTTTAAGAAGCATTTGAATCACATGAACTCTATATTTTAGAACATGGAGGAACTGCCAGCATCATACAATACCTTTCAAAAGTTGAAATTGTGTCCGTCCAATCCGACTGCTGCCCCTATGTTACCCGTGTTAAACATAGGATTGGAAAGAGGTTAATTTCGGACTTCGATTATGTATTTCTCTGCATTTCATATTCATAAAACGAAATAAGAAATAGGTACTAGTGAACTTGTATTGTTTATCATCTGTAAGGTTATTATATGATGCTTTCACAAGTCCATATATTGTCGCCATTAAAGTTTCCGGTCTTATTTTTCTAGGTGATCTCCCAACAATTGATGATCTAAAAAGTTACCTGAATGATGAAAGTTGGACTTATATGAAAAAAATATCGGCTCAAGCTATTTTGCAAAAGAAGAACTGCAAAGAAATTGCGGAGAAAGAAGATCGCATTGAAGGCCCTGATAATGGTTTAAAAATCTCTTCAAACACTACTGTGGTGCATAAAATGAAGAAATTCAATTCGTTATTTGCTTCTCATAATGGTTCTCAAGTGAAAGGTGGAACAGTTGCTGTCTTGAACGCTTTGTCGGGTTATCTGAGATATCTTGAGGGAACAGGAAGGGATGATTGGCAGGAGTATGTATCTTCCTGTGTGATTGTATTAATTATCTACATTTTGCATTCCTTTTTGGTTGGTACATCTTGCTTGACACTTTTGAATCTGTTTACTGAGTAATGCTATTCCTTATTATGGATTGTTAATTGTGGTTATTCATAATTACTAAATACTTTGCAGGTATGTAGGATAGATGTTTAGGTTCTTGGTACAAATGCTTTTAGCCATTTGCAATCATATCCCTAAATTTTATCAGTTTTAAGCTGGTAGTATCATAGACTTGTAAGTTGAAAAGCCAAATTTTTTTCTCTTACATATCTCTTTTTTCTTCCTTTTCATTGCTTAGCTGGTAATAAGCTTGAAATTAGATTCTGATCCGAACATCTTAATATTCTGAGAAAATTACAAGTCTCTTTATTCCTTCCAATTTGCTTTTTATCCAATGACATGATTGATCACTATGTTTTTGAAAGAAAATGAGTATGTAATATTTGCCTCATTTTTCAATAGGGTACATGATAAAATGGGCAAGGCTGAAAGCAGAAGTGGAGCCTCATTTGGAGCACTTTTTGGAGCTTCCCTTTATTTTGGAACCATATCTAGGAGGAGAATTCATTATGAGGCTATTAAATATGAGAAGGAACGTAATGCAGGGTTCTTGTCTCCTTTTGGATACTCCTCACCTACTGTTGCAGCAGCAATTGAGACTGTTTGTTCCATGGAGGTTTGAGTTTACAGAGATATATAGTCTGGCATGGTTTGTGATAGCTGATGCAAGATGGATCAGGATTAGGGTTTTTTAATACAGCTAATATGACGCGATGTTTGTAAATCATGTTAGAAAATTTAAGGATTCATACATGAAAAGTCACTAAATAAGCATATCAATCATTCTCTTTAAATGGAGACAGCAAAAAAAAAAAAAAAAAAAACTGCAACTCAATTAATAATGCAATGATTAACTAAATAAAAAAAAATATTACGTAATTAAAATCATATAAAATGAATGAACAATGATTCATACATGACAAGTTCCTAGTTGTGTCAAATATGAACAAAATCATCAAAGCTATCAGGTAGTAACAAAATATGTAAAAAGTTATTAAAAATAAGAATTTCAAGCTTCAAGTCAGTACAATTAGAAGACACTATCTGACATTAGAGAGTTACATTTATTCTAAAAGGAATCACACATCTAATTTGCACACAAATTAGAAACTAGAATAAGATATTTTTATTCAATAAAAAATAATAACACACAGACTTAGAACATTTATTTATATACCTTTCATTCCCAGATTAATGACTGAAAATTATAGATAAGATTGAAAAGCGGAAGAAAGTTTTTATTCAATCGAAAATAATGAACTACTTGCCTTGTAACATTTATTTATGAAGTTTTCATTTTTGGATTAGTTAATATGGTTGCCATAGGGTCAACCTAATTTAATTATAGAGTCCTTAGATTCAAATCTCACTTTCAAGCGGATAACATAACTCATCAACAAACCTTTGTAGATTCACAATGCTCACAAAAATATGCCAACAAATTAGGTAAGGGAGACATTCGTGTGAATTATATGAATTTCAAACAGTACTCATTTAGTCCTCAACACCCATAAAGTTTTGTACGATGAACAAACTCTAATGCAGAGCTGTGAAGAGGGCCGGCTGAACCGACCTCTGAAGTCCGGTCTAGCCTTTGCTTGACCGACCGGCTCCCAGAAAGAGGGGCTTGCCGCTTATCATAATTCCTCTTTTCTTTGTCCTTTTCCTCATATTCCCTTTCTTTTTCCATTACTCTCATTTTCTATCCATTGCCTATTTTATGTCATTCCTTTTTCTATTTTCTTTCTTTTTCTAATCCTTACCTATTCTACGTACTAATATTTTTATATATATATGGAGGA